TTAAAACACAATCCATTCATATATTTTGCATTAAGTGTTATATATCAAAAACAAAAATATTTAAGGTCAAATTTAAAGAATAAAGACTTCAAAAGTCAAAATTGGACAATAAATATGGGACGGAGGTAGTAGTAAGTTTAGAAAGCAAAATGGAAAGAGTTAGAGTTAGGAAGAAAATGAGATAGGTAGTGAGGAGGAGTAAAATTAAGTCACTTTGAAATTTTGAATTTTACTTTTAGTTCTTGAATTTGGGCCACTACAAATGTATAATATTGAAAATATTTATAAAAATATGAAATATATATATATATATATATATATATATATAAAATTAAACGGGTCATCTTCGAGTTGAAAGTCTTGACCCTAACCCTACCCGTTTAATTATCGTGTCGTGTCGTGTCAACCCGTGTACATAAACGGGTCGAAATCTCTGACCCTAACCCGCTAACTTCGTGTCGGGTTCGTGCCGGGTTGTCGTTTCGTGCCCGATTTTGCCAAGTCTACTCCCAGCCCCACCCCCACCCCTCACTTTACCTTACCTTCCTCACCATTTTTCCCTATTTAAATAATAGTGTTTTTAGGTAAGACAGGGACCAAGCACGTAACAAAAACAAATAGTAGGGACCTCCCGAGTTAAAAAAATAAGTTAGGGACTAAGCGTGCAAATTACCCCAAACCATAGGGACCATTTGTGTAATTTACCAATATTAGCATGATGTAACCAAAAATAACAACATACTTTATTTGTTATATATTGTTATTATAAATAAAAGTTGTAAGCATGTTGCTATTATGAGTCACATATTGATCTTACTAATAAAAAAATGTACATATGTTGCTATTATTTGTAAAAAAATTAAGTACATTAAATATATTGGAAAAAAAGTAAAAAGAGAGCAAACCTTATTTAATATTCCTGTATCAAGCATCCAATCAGTGGGAATATGAAACTCTTTGCAATTTCGCATCAATACATCTCTTGTTCGAAGAAGATTGTACACAATACGCTCCATTCTACAAAATATACACCAAATAATTTTAATTTCAAAGATAAAGATTTGTAACAAAATGAATTTAAAAAATGGTGAATATGTCTTACTTTTCAGATAAAGACACCATTTTTTTCAATGCCATGTCACATGGTATGTGGAAATTGTCTTTATAATTTGAAATTTCATGTTCCAATTTCTTTAGATCTCGATATGCAAATGCTGCTTCTCTTAATGTGTCTGCTTTCTTTTCTGGCCAATCAAAGTGTTTCAAAACAGCCCTCTCATCCACCTTTTAACAACCATAAACAATCAATCATCCTTTAAAGAAAGCGAAAATTTCAAGAAATTTATAGAATTTTGTCCTTTTTTTTTAGTGATTACAAGATCTAAGAGCCAATAGACTTACAAGAAAGCAAAGTTCATCATCAAGCCACTTCACAAAAGCCACCACATCTTCTATATCTGGATAAACAGCATCATTGACTTCTCTTATTAATGAGTTGACAAATTCTCCTTGTGTCTCAACATCTTCCTTTATCTAAACATTAAAAAAAACACTATGTAATGAAATCCTCCAAAAAATCCAATCACAAATACATTTATGGCAAAGGGTTGTGGGGCCCACACTAAATGGGAAGGAACTTACAGCAAGCAAATGAGAAGAACGGTTTTCAATTTCACCAATCATGCTATTTCTAACGTTATTAACTTCAGAAGCATCACAAATCCCATCATTTAAAGAATCTTTTCTGGAATCTCTTTTCATAAGAGAATGATAAAACTCAACCACTTGTGGAGCCCTTTGAACAACCCCACCACCGTTACTCCGCCCTGTGAACTTCGGAGGTGGTGGTGGAGGTGGCGGTGGTGGTGGTGGCGGGATTTGACACTTTACCTCTTTATGTTCCTTTTCAGTGAAGGTAGAAGGTCTAGGAGGAGGATTAGGAACCCTAAGAGCTCTTTTTTCAACATCCATTAAAGTTTTCAGCTTTGTAGCTTCTCTCACTTGAATAACACTTGAATCTACTTCCTCCATTTCCATTGAAGATATAATAAAACCATCTGATTGTCTTCTTTTATTCACAACCAATTCTTCTTGACAACAATTTGCGCCACTGATTGAGTGTCTTCTTCCTTCTAACCATCCAAGGTTGAGTTTGTAATTCATGGGTTCGGAGACTTGTGATTCTTCATCTAAAACAGGCCATTTTTTCCACTTTTTAATCGAACTTAATCTCTTTTGAGTGCTACCATGTTCAGAAGCTTCATCACTTGATACAGAAGGATTAAGCCATTCAACAGAAGCTGGGCTTGAAGATATATCAGAAGTCAAAAAAGTCGAATTTTGAAGCTCGTTTTTGAGACAGGAATTGACCCATCTAAGATAAACAAGCTCCTCGACTTCGTTCAATCGACTTACCTGTAGATCTTCAACTTGTTTGCATAAATCTTCGTTTGTTTGTCGTAATATGGATGCTTCGGATTTGATCTTTTGGATAAATTCATTCTGCGAATCGATAAAAGACAAGTTAAACCAAAAATTAAATTGTTAGAAATTTGATAAAGTAAGAAGTTGGAAGAGATTACGCACCTCGGAATCTTTTGCTAAGGAAGCTAGCTGAGACTCCATTGATGAAATCCTGCAACAGAGGTTTCTCTTTTGAAGATGAAGCTCAGCATTCAGTCGTCTTAATTTAAGAACATCTACCTCGACATTGTTAACTGCTCCCTTCGCTAGATTTTCTTGTAACTGATGAGAATTCAACTGTTCAGAGAGACTAGTGTTTTCTGATTCTAGCAAATCGATTTTGCTTTTAAGAGAATCGATTTCACTCGTCTTTGATTCAACCACCCTTTCGAGCTCCAAAGCCTTGAGGTTTTTCCGCTTGAAATCAGACAACTCAGCTTGCAACTTAGCTTCTCTGTCTTTAGATGCTTGGAGCAAGCTTCTGAGCTGATCAAGCTCAGCGAACAGATCTCGAGACCCTGAAGAAGACGAAGATTTATACAGCCGCTGATTCTGGTTCTGGTCACAGTTGTGATGAATCCCTTGTGGATGAACTTGTGTGGCTGTAACAGAACACGACAAATCTCCTATCAGAGACCGTTTTGCTCGATTAGAAGCAAAAGGGTTTTTGGAGTTCGTCGTGGAAACGATGGTGAGTGGCTGTTGTTGCGATTTCTTCGTGACTTGTTGCGACCTGGTTTTCTTATCAGCTGAAAAACCTTTCACAATGTTAGAACCCCATATCGATCTGGGTTTCAAATTCGATGATGGGTTGTTGTTTTTACACTTCGATGGTGGTTGATTCTCATCAGCGAACCTCGACGATGGCTTCAATCTGCTATCCGATGATAACTTCGTTTCGCCCATTTGAAAAAGAAAAAAAAAATCGAGTGATCGATTTACCAAACACCGAAACTTCTACAGATGGATTGATTCAGATTTCAGAACTCAGAAGATTAAGAACAAATCGGCGAATTGCATTGGGAAGTGTTTGGGGGGAGCGGAGACGGCGAGAAAAGGGGCGAGTTGTCTGACGATGTTTCTGCTTTGTGCATTTGAATATTTGAATTTCGAATGTGTAGAGGGGTTGGAAGACGCAATACCTTTTTTGAACGCAACGATCGAATTCTAGGGTGTGGGCCCTAATCTGATTTTGGGTGAGCAGGGGTGGAGTGTTCTACAGTTCTACTGCCATTGCTGACACTTTTGAGGACTCATTCTTGAAAAGGACATGATATACAATTCAAAAAGGATGAGGGGGTGTCTTGACAAATGGCGATATTTTTGTATTTTTTTCATAATAAAGACAAGATATTAAAGAAGTTGTTGGTTAAAATTTGTTCCTCTTTTGTCATCTAAGGTTAAAAGTTGTAGGATTCAAAACTTAAATTAATTCGATTTTGAAGTGTTTTTATATTGAATTATCTATTGGATGTAGTTATTAAAAATTGTTCATGGAAGAATGTTTATTTTGTAAGAGTTTCATGTTTGTTTAAGTTGGAAGAATTTTTTTTTTTTTTGAATAGTTGTTTGTTGTTTGTGACAATTTTAAACTAATTTTCTAGACATATAGAGTGTTCAAAATTTTGAACATTGTACCACTATTCTAACTACTTTACGATGATGAGATACTTTTGGACATGGTGCTATCTATTTCATAACTTCAAACATATTAAGGCTTGAGGGAGTGGCCTCGCACCCCGCACCCCTCTCGCCAAAACATTCGTTAAACAGGTTATACCATTCCCATTAAAATGTTAGAAGGCTCGCTAATTGGCATCGTTAGGTTGGTAACGAAAAGAGAGAAGGAGGGAGTGTGGGCTTTGATTGGTTGGCTCAATTTGTTTTTCTTTTTTTCTTTTTTTTCCAAACTCAGTTCTAATTAAATTATTTTACAACCACTCCCTATCTTTTACAAGGTGCTATGGTTTGATAACAAATGTTTATGTGGATTAACAAAATCTGACGTGTGTAGAGTTTAATTGTGTTGCGTCTTGGGTTTTATGTTTTTTATCCGGATTGAGCATGTTCATCCGTGATTATCTAGTAGGGTTATACTATAAATATGCATGCATGTATGCATAATACGCTGTTGATTAT